GTTGAAAGAAGGGATCCATGGGAGGGAAGTTTCTGAAGCCATTTTGTTGATATGAAGTAAACATTAAGTATCACTACCTTTTGTTTCTTTTTATCACTGTAAACTTCCACCAGAGAAGAAAAAGTTAGTAAGTGCAGAGGATAAATCAGTTTGTAATGCCAGACGCAGGCCTGTTTCTATGAGACAGGCTTCTACCTCTAGGAGCGGACGGAAGGACACAAAAGGTCGAGAACAAAAGAGCAACAACCTCATGAAAGAGATTAATTTTTACCTCAAATAACTCCCTAGCAGCAGTACAAGAACTCTGACAGAAAAAACACTTTCTAAAGCTCAACAGGTAGGAAGGACTTTGTGATCCCTCAAGTCCACAGTGGGGCAGGAAAGATGAAGAACAAGGACCTACAAGGTCCTTTATTTCTCCTCCACCTGACATTATCATCCACAGACCATGGGTAAGGGTCCTGCCCCGCTGTGTGAGCCAAAACCACTGTTTTTCCTTTTTACAGTCCCCCAAGCTGCCTGAACCACTAGGCACAGCCATTCTGGCAGGGATACATCCAGGGATCCTGCATGGTCCAGCTTCAGAAACTCCTTCAGGACACTAAAGTCTCTACCAGCTCTCACTGAGCAAACAACCTGTATAAGAGCCCTGAATGAAAGGCAGACATGACGGGTTTTTTACTGCTGTCTTTGCATCTTCTTTAGTTTCCTTCTCACTGTAGTTGTTGCCTTCCTGTGTGCTCCTTTAGAATAGGAAAGCATTAAATTAAAGAAACAGGAGAAAGTCCTAGAAATCAGGAATATTCTTCATTGGTTTCCATCCCCCACCTTATAACGTATCGGGAGCGGAAGAATCCTAGAGAGCACACTTGCTGCTGCCAAGCAAATCTTTATTTTAAAGCACAAAAGCAGCTTCCTGGACAAACATCTTATCCAACCATGCATTTTTTCCCCCCCTAGTGAGCATCATGGTTATTATATGGAAAAATGAAAAGTAACTAATATTAAGATTTCAGTATCCTCAGATGCCCTTAATTAAGTCATTTAGAATTAACTTGAGGCTTATAGTCATGGAAGTAATTTGTTAAATATAGACTAGAAAATTTCATCTGGAAGTAAATGACTACAGGATACACAAAAGGCATTTGACACTGTAAAATACAACAGAGGAGAGAAAAGTAATAACAGCGAAACTTGTTCTGTCAACAAGGATGGAATTGCCAGTATTTTTGTATTGTATATTTTTTCTAATTTCAGATTCATTTTCTGAATAGGATTGAACAGCCATTTTTTACTGCGATTCTCTATTTCAGCTGACAGAGCTCTTGCAGAGAGCTTCTCCCTGTCCCTGAAAAAGCCAGCCAGCACAGACAGGAGTGAAGAGGCAGCAAGACCGCTGCTACTTAAATTAACTGAAACAGTATTTTGGGTGTACAGGCTTCTGAATTCCCTCAGTAAGCCTTAAAAAGAGCCATCTGGTCAGAACATTACATCTCTGTTTAGATCCTTCTTTGGAAATTGAAACGAGGCTCTTGAGTGCTTGTTAATGCTTTTTAAAGGAGGATTTGGAAGGTGAGTAGCTGCCTTGATGGGTTGCTTCGTGTGGAGCAGGTTTTGGCAGGACAGCGGGCAGGTGTCTGCAGCAATGGGTCTCCTCACCCCATGCTTGCAAAAAAGCATTGACTGCATTGGGAGCATGCTGGTGTGGCATGGCCCTTCCAAAAACAACAGCATTTACTCTCTCTTAGCCAATGCCTGCATGCACCTCTGTGAACTGACAAGGATAAGGGGGTTGTGCCTTGCTGAGGAGAAACCCAGAGAGGTGCCAACCCATACCCTCTGCAGGGCTCATATCCCCTGGGTCAGGAGCTGCCTCCTCCAGAAGCTACTTCCAGGTGGAAAGGCTATGGAGGGGCACAGCATCCATCTTTCTGCTCCCAGCTCGTGGAGAAGCTTCTCCTAGTGGGAAATGTCAAAGCGCCTTCCAAGTCCTTCTCCCCCTGAGTTTTGGACACAGGTCTTTAATGAGTGGAGGAAAACAGATTAAGAGCCACCAAAAGCCTGCTGGGGAGTGGAAGGGGGGACTTGGCAAGAAAATGTTTTGTATGAGTTTCTGCCCTGCTTAGGAGCTTTTGCAGCCCCGCATAGTGAAATCTGTCTCCTTCTCTCCCCACCTGGCATAACTCCCTCAGGACTGATTGCACCAGCATAGGAACCAGTATAGCGCAAGCAATTAGCTATTACAGCCCCTTATGCTCTGTTGTAAAGGTTTGAAATTTGCCCCAGATGGATCTTTCTAACAGAAAAGCCAACTGTGACACAAACCACATTTCTAAAATATAATATTTTTCAAATACTAAAATTCTACAGAGAAACTTTAAAGTACCAATATGAGCTCCTTTGATCTCCATTTATTCATCAGTTTTCACATTAAAATTTCGCTTGGGCAGTTTTAAAAAAGATAAATAATATAACATGGCCCACATGTTATGTTGTTTATATCTCACCAGCCCTTTCCATCCTTGCAGAGAGATGGACCTGAGCCTATACTTCTTAAGGCTGAAGCTCATAAAGGGTGGCAATTTATCACAAATCCCTGAATCCCCCACTCTGCAGCATGAGGAATATACACTGCTTAATTAACATAAATGACAGCAAATGCCCTGGATCCTCAGAGCGAGGGCTGACAGTGCTGCAGCCCAGCATGCATAGAGGTACCCTGTACTGCTGGCTGATGGTTTGTAGCACCTCAAATCTCTGTCTGCAGCCTGTCCTGGGTAATGGGAGAAGGGAACTGGGCTGCTCCCTCACCCACAGGTCCATGTAAAGGCCCGATATATAATGTCCTATAAAACATGATACAAGCCCTGTAGGTTGTTGGGGTCCCACACTGCCTGATGCCAGAAGGATGATCCAGTGCATCCATCCCAGGAGGCAGCCCAGATAAGCCTGCTGCCCTTGGTAAACAGTCATGCCCTCCCAGTACTCATGGGCTGGATTGGGATGGGATGGATCCCTTGTGGCTGGGGTTGTACGTGGAGAGCCTTCGTGGGGGCTGTGTCACTGCTGGGAGAGGGAGGGCAGCGGGGAGAGACCTCCCCCGGCAGCAGTGGGAGCTGGATCTGGCCCAAGCACAAGGGTGCATCGTCTCCAAGATACAGTGTCTTGGGGTAGCTTTTCCTAAACAAAGAGCACTGTAAGGGAGCCACTGCTGGAAATTTCCATTCCTTTGTTGGGTAGATGCTGTGTAAATAAATGCATTCCTGAGATTTTTCATAATCCTAGAAAGATCCATAAACCAAACTGTACAGTTCGTCAAATCACTGGAGTTCATATATATTATCCCTCGGCTGCTGGGAACTTGATATACAATGGCACAGAATATAAGGCAAGAAACATATGTTAAAGGTCTTCTTAGAAGCACTCTGTGCATTCATATGTGGCATGTACAGATACTGCTTTTATTTTGTCTGGTGGGATCTAAAATATCCAACCCATATTTGCAGCTTGGGTTTGTGAATTACTTACCTTAACTCTCAATAATCTTTACCTGACTGGCAACTTTGGTGGCAGCATTTAGCTGTTCCCTGGTTCAATGTGCAGGTGCTTTGAAAGCATTTATAAATTAGTACATAATTTAAATGTGTAAGCAACCTCTTACTTTCCTCTTCTGCTTTTCTTTCTGTCTGAATCTTATTTAAAGACCAGACAATTCAGTAAGATCCTATCATAATAATTATATGGTGCCTGATGTATTTACAAGTGCAAGGGCTCAGAAATGCATTTGCAATGTCTTACTTTCTTTTCATATATAAACACTAACTACATACAGAATAAATTATATTCCTGTATCCAGTGTATTTGTAATGTAAATGGAGGAGTCACTTATATAGTAAAGACTATTGTACCTTCACTGATAAAAGTCAGATGTTTTCCTTGAAATAACCTAGTAACTTTTGCTTTAAACTGCCCTTTACACTACCAGAACAATGTTTATTACCCTTCTTTTTAATTTTGAATACACTTGGACATTCATCTTGTATTTAGACTTTCCCAACAGCTATGCTTGCTTTCTTTAGGCTGATTTTTTAAATTAAAAAATCATACCCCCTAGCAATAAAATTCCATTGGAAAAAATATTGAAATGAGATGGAAATAATACTTTTCTTTTTTTAGATCCCAAAGTTCCAGACAAAAGAGCACTTAATAAACAATTGTACAGAATACAAAATGTACTTTTTCAACAATTGTCTTCTAATTGTCCAAAATACAAGGATGTGATTTATTTCCTAGATATGCTATTTCTCAGTCAGATTAGAAATACTAAATAACTCCCCCAACCCTATGACCAAAACAACCTAGAAGCCAAACTGAAACAATCCCTCAAACAGGACTATCTCTATGAGGTAACCCCAAATACTTTTGGCTAGCTGGTTGGTTCTCTAATTTCCTTCTGTTTGGAGACTGCCACAGCATCTCCAATTCAGCAACACTTATTCAAGATCCTAATTTTTCCTGACCTTGGTACTCACATTTGGGGGCTACTGTGTCAAAGCATTTCAGCCTCCAGAATGAAGCCTTCTCTCAAAGAAAGAACATTACGGCAATTGTAGCTCTCAAACTGGAATAGATTATAAAAGCTTATTACTGTATTTTAATATAAAATATTGTTGAGTAAGGGCATCAAACTTTAAACCCAATTAAAAACAAACTATGATCCTAGAGACTGCAGACCAGTAACTTATCTACCACACAAACAGCTGCACAAATCCCTCACATTATTTTTTCCAGGCTTTCAACTCTGATTAATAACATGGCAAACCCATGCAAGTCTCAACCATATTAACCACAGCTATATTTTTAGTCTTACTGACATGAACGCTTTAATATAATAAAAGTAAAAGGAAAACAGAAGAGGTGTTTCATTAGGACACGAGGATTACTAAAGCCGCTGTGTGGAATATTTGTCAGGAGGTGGTAAGGGAAGAGTTGTTACTTACATTTTAGCATGTCGCTAGGATGTGGAGCAAGAGGATCCCTCAGTGAGAGATGTTTGCTTTGGAAAAAAACCGAGTAATCAGGCTGTCCAAGCTCTTCTTACTGACACATTTATAATACCAAATTGCAAACTTGGTTAAGAAGTTTGCAGCACTACATGGAAAACTGTTTTTCCAGTTTTACTGTGAAGCCCAGCAATATGTCAGTGGTACAAGATCCAGAAGTTCGTGTATTAACCTGCCAGTCCTTTTTTGTTGATAGATGGCTATATGCAAAAATATATGAAGCATGCAACCTGGTTGGTTAAAAAAAAATAGCCCAAGCCATAGACCCTCAGCAGATCTTGCAGCTCATTTTAGAAGCTTATACCCTATTTTAGAAGCCTTTACGAATAAAAAAAAATCCCCAAACCCAAACAACCCCCTCCAAATGGCTGATATATGCAAGAAACCAGGATTATATCAGTAAAATAGTAACTTCAAAACAAATCCGAAGACTAATGCTTGCCTAATACAGAGTGATTTAATATTTAATGTGTTTGGCTTCACAATTGTGTGAAGTGGGAGTAGAATTAAATTCAGTCCATCAATTGTTCCTACGACAGGGGTATTCCTTAGCTGAGTTTCTGACAATAAATTCAGCTGAATGAATGGTGTTATCATGAAAATAAGCAATATTTGGCCGTGTATGTTGTTTGACTTTTCTTTCTGCACTTATCTGCCTACACATTTGCACAAGTAGTATTATAACGATGTGTTTTGTAAGAGAGCCAAGCTTTGTAAATCGGAATAATGGGCAAAACCAGTCATACATTTTCTGTTTCTAAATTCTTTGCATGAAGACAGCTGCATTTCAAACTCAAGGTAACACAATAGATACAGGCACACAGCATCCTAATAGTGACACTGAAATAACTGCTCAGGACAGTACCCAAATACCGTAGTCATGGATGTATTGGAAACACTCGGGTACTACAGAGGGGGTGCGATGGGCTAGCAAAGAGAAGGGCAGAGTAATAGCAAATATCTTCTCACACTTTTACCTTGAGATGAAAGCATCATTTTTGCTGTGACCTTTTAAGTGTTTTTAATGCATAACATCTGCAGTATCAAACATACAGGGGAACAGGGAAGGCAGGCACCACAATGTATTTCTACCCACCGGAAAGTGAAGAAATGCACAGAAAACCTTTATATAGCACCAGAGAAAATGAGACCCTATGCACAGCCTTATATAAGAACTTCACTACCAAAGAGATTTGTCTCTTGTTTGAATGCCACATGAGCACATGTGAACCATTCCTGCTCATCTGTACTGACATTGGGATTTTGCTTTTTAACTAGCCCAGGCTTGGCTGCAACTAAGATAAACATATTTAGCTGCAACTTTTTTTTCTTTCAAAAAGAGGCAAACTGGATTATAGCAAATAACCTTTAAGATAATTAACTGACAATGCCGCAACTAGCATAAAATCTTCCTTCAGGCGACCCCTAATTTAAGTATTACTGGCACAAAGTGGAGACAGATTGTGCATCACCACCGCAATATTTACATAGCAGAAACCCACAGAGCAGGAAACGTGAGACTCAATGATGCACTAAATTAGGAACAATCATATTCTAGTGTTAATTTGCTTTCTCCTCTATCCAAATTTCAGGTCCAGCAATTGGTACAAATGCACATAAAACATTCCCATTTTTAATGATTAAGAAGCACGGTCTGCAAGCAGTTCTGCTCAAAAGTAAATTCACTCACTACTGGGGATGTTTGCAGGATCAAACTCCCAGAAGTGAAACAGGCTTACCAACACAGAGATTTTTAAGAAAACCAACACTTTCTAATCTGTTTATTTCTTTCCATAAATGATGTCTGCAGAAGCAGTCTGAGTTGTCTGCCAGGCTACCTGCCTTTTGATCGCAAGTAATTTCCTATGACAGTAACACCGTGATTCTGAGGGATAATGGAGAAGCGGTTTTAATTCACCGATGCTGTAGACATATGCAGGTACTCAAAAGGCTGTGCAATCAAAGAATAAAAGTTAAAATGGAAGGGGAAAGAAAAAGATAGCTGGTCTATTTGTAAGTATATTGGGAAGTGACATATTTATAATAAATATACACACTATATCGAGACACAGATTTCATGAGCACTATTCTCAGTTACAGCATACTTCATGAGACAAATGCAAAGAACCATCACCAATCTTTCTAAATCTTAAATATTATTCAAATTTGGATTCCATTATGGCATATTAACAAAATATTTACCTTGCCTAATCGCTGATGTTCTTCAAAAGCAGAAATCAGTTCTTGTGCCCACTTTATTTTTTCAGGGCTCGGAGAGAACTGTTCCTGGACAACAGCAATTTGGTTGGGGTGAATCACCTGCTTACCTACAAAGAAGATTAATAACACCAGAATCATGCATCGACAAACAGATGTTCAAGCAAAATGTTCCAACCACTTGAGGCTCTCATACGCCTCGCAGACTTTCTTGCTCTTTAACTAATTATTTTACCTGGTTTCTTTAATTCTTTAAACTGGACAACAGGCAGATAGCCTTTAGCCAGATTGTTTTAAGAATTAAAATATCTTGAGCTATGCTTGCATTCAATATAGTTTGAAAGAACCTACAATTCTTTCTCCTCCCTCCCCATTTCAATTCATACATCTTCTCTTAGTCGTTTCAGGTGCAATTTTTGTTCAGGGCAGTCAATAACACTTAAGTATAATGCATCTCCGAATATAACTGTAGAAATAACAGCTACAGACACTCTTAAATAAATTACATTAAAATGTGTTCAGAAAATGAGATCTGAAGAAGATGGTAAAAGATTTGTAGGACTGAAAAGTTACCAGTCACATAAGGATCATGCTCTAAATTTTCAGTATTGGCTTAGCATCATAAAATCCTCAGTGTTGTTTAAATTGTTGTAATAGTTAGCAGTTGCAGGCAGATTGCAACATTTATGTAGTCACTGGTATATTAAACAACTATCAGTGATGCCCTGAGGTTTTATGAAGTACTTTTTTTAATCCTGTCTTGCATAAACATGCGTTAAGAAAATAAAAATAGATGTTGCTTTTTTTTTTACTAGAGATTTTCAAATGTGAATAGACAGCCACATAATCCGTTTTAATCTGTTATTGTATATAGCTACCTTAAAACAAATATAGATCTAATTTGTTTGACAGTTTTAGAAATGTAACATTTGACATTATTAGTTCATTTCTATGGGAATTTCACAGATGTGTGTGATTTCTGCACTTTGGTTTCAAAGTGTTTCAATAAAGAAAAGCTACTGTAACTCCCAGCTTCCCATGGAATAAATGACTGTGCAAGATAACAAAACTAGTTAGATGGATGAGCCTGATCCTGCAAACCTGCCACTGAGTGAGCAGTCTCCTTCACATGGAGGGTCCCACAGCCACCCGCTCCATCCCATCCCACTGCACGCTGCAGCCTCTCACAGGAGAGAGATTTTTGCACACAAGGAAAAGTTTGCAACACCAGGAGCTAGGGAGGCTTCCTGGCACAACGGGGTCTGCTCCCATGTTCTTTCTGCCATTAAACCAGCTGTACATTAGAAATCATCCCATCACTTGGTCGAAGAAGTTTCACGTATGACTGCAGAGATAGATACACCTATTTTAAATGAAATGACCACTGAAGAAAACCCTGGGATTACTTTTATCAGACTGCAGTGGGTCTGACTGATAGCCTGGAGTACAAACAAAACCTGGGGATGCAGCATCATAACATAATTTAGAGCAAAGAAATAATAATTATTTTAGTGTTGCATGTTTCTCAGCTAAAAAGCCATAAGTAGCTCAATTTTATTATATTTCCTATTAAACAACCTGTAGTTTATGATCTTATGGGCATTCAAATATTCAATTTGACATTTCAATGTCATAACTGTTAAAAAAAAAAGCTTAAAAATAGGTAAAAGCTTTAAACTCAGCAAGAACTACATTTTCTAGGAGAAATTACATGGAAACAAATTTTCTTAACTAATGTGTTTTACATTAAGTCTAATCAAAGTTTTTTTAGTCAATTTAATCAAATTCACCATTAATAACATTACGATTTTACTTATTTGTAATACAACAAATTCTCCCTAGCTAAACTGCTCATTCTAAAACTGAAGGGAATAATTCCTGCAAAATCCTAAGAAGCAACTTTCTGGGAAAAATGTAGAATATATTTTAAATCATATTTAAGGTCAGTCTACAATTATAACAAAATTAAAAACATTTATCCACAATTTTTTTAAAGTGTAAAGTATTTCTCTAAAAAATCTATTTTTGATAGAGATGTCTGTAGCAGTAAGCTATACCTTCTGTTATTAAAACACTACTGCACAATTTACAAAGAATATAATGCAATTTTGATTCACAGCATTCAGTTGATTTTTGTCACAGCTTATGTATCCAAATATCTGTATAATAGACATAATGCCATGCAGGAATGAAGCAAATATTTTAAACAGAATTGTTGTTATTGACAAGTTCCTGAGAGAGTGCAAAATTGGAAGACATTAAAATTTATGACCATGAAATCCTTTTTACAGTACCACTTGATATATTGTGCTTTAAATCAATACCTGTCAAGTCTTTTAGGTAACTGTATGATGGTGTCGTTTCAGTCTTCTACAAAAGACTGCAAAAGGAGAGGAAACCTATAGTGTTTCGTATTTATATCTGGCTTCTCAGCATGTAGCACAGGACTTTCTATAATTACTAAGTCAGATGTTGAAGCTAATGGCAAAGTTTACTTAATTTTTTACATAAATATTCCTAAAAGTGATGACCATTTATGTAGGCAACACACTAAGTAAGTCCGCTGGTTCTGGTATAGTAAAACATCACGCTGGGTGTGTATGCATATGTGTCTATATACATATACTCCTCCAATATATATATATATAAATATATATAAATATATAAATATACATATAAAAGATCTAATCATCTGGCTAAATTACATTTGAAAACATTTTATTTTATGTAAACACACTCACTGAAGGGAAAACAGGCTGCTTCTAAGATTACTGGAAAAGAAAACTGACATAATAAGCAATGAGGGTTACAATAGTAACTAAATAGCTGGTAAATTTTTTGTTAAGTCACTTTGCTTGTTTCACCTTGACTATTTGATTACATTACGCAAGTTCCATTGGTCTAAATCTGAACATGGAGAAATCTAGGGACATAGAACTTTGCTGAGTATTTTGGATTTGCATTAGTTTTGAGGGTGGTGAATTTGGTCCTATGTGTGCAAATAGATGTGCGTTCTCCAGCTAAGAGAGTAATTGGCAATACTAATCTTGTTTTAGTCCTGTTGATTTCAGTGATTTTGATTCTTTGTGAAAAAGAAGTAGGAAGAGATCTTAAATATTTAAAAATAACAAGAATCACGTGTTTTGAACTTGTTATTAAAACACTATTTCAGTATTTTACTCTCATGGTATCAGAGCACTGTCAGTGACAAATATGCTCTGCAGAGTTCTGCTTTATGCAAGGTTATGGATTAATCTAAGACCCATTTGTGATTTAATGTGATTAATATTAAATTGGAAATGTAAAAATGTTTCATTTACATGCTTTTGGAACTAAAAGTTTTTGCTTTCAATTTTGAAATGACATTTTATTTTAATCAAAACAAACAAAAAAAATTATAAAAGCATTAGATAAACTGAAAGCAAAAGAAACAAAAGAACAAGTAAAACATTTTGGATAGACTTCAAACCTTTTTTTTCTATTTTTACAAAAAATATGGAAAATGCTCTTTTGTTTTGACTTAAACATTTTTCTTTTATTATTAAATTTTTTTTTTTTTTTTTTTTGGCCACCAGATCAGGAAAGTCAATATTGTCCCACCTCTAATTATGGTCAGACTGGTTGTCAGGATGTCTGTGGGATTTTGGAAATGTGTTAATGATAGTTGTGGAAAGGCAGGAGGCAAAGAGCAAGAGCTGTGAGTTCACCTTAACGAAGTCTGTACCTTTTACAGACCTTTACTCCTCATATGGAAAGGCAAGGAATATCTATGGCTGAGTTAAAAGTTCCATTTACATCCTAAACTGCTACATATGACTTTTTAATTTGTCTCCTATATGGACACTACCCTGATGTCAGACAACTTCCACTGTAAAGTCAGTGGAGTTCAAACCACCGTCAGCATTGTTTATGCTGAGGATTTCTAAATTTCCTAAATTGTGAGCCCAACTTAAGTATTTAAATCCACATTAAGTGTTCAGAAAGAGTGCTCTCAAAGGTGGTAGGCAACTGCAACTCCATCTTCTGTCAACAGGAGGTTCAGGTGTTTCGTTTTTTGCAAAAAATCAAGCTTTTGCTTAAGCTAGGAAATATTGGTCAAGATTAGGCAGCCATCAGCAGGTGCTACTATTCAGGAGCTCTATTGTTTTCCCAACTTCAATCACAGTCAAATGAAGGGTGTAAGTCCACATGGATGTGGATAATGTAGCTGTGAGGAGCTAAATGGTTTGCCTCTGAAACAAGATCTAGTTTTGCGAATGTTGAAGCTCAACAAGCAGTAAAGCAGAGTTTGCACTGAAGAGCACTGATTGCTATTCTTTCACTGGCATGCAGAGATCGCTTAAAAGAACACTTGTTTTTTTGCTTGGTGTATTAAACTGTCATATACCACTAACTGTAAAAATATAGTTTGCTAGATGGCATTGCCAGGACCCATGCTTTTGGTAACAAAAACCTAAAAGGTGTACTATTACCATACATATATCCTGACTGACGGTCTGAGACAAATAATGTGAAATGTTCAACCTATATGCTAGAATTCTTTAATGCATTTGTCAAATGTCTGATTTCTATTGCAAAACCCCAAGCTTTGGTGGCTGTGCTGTCCCACTGGGGTGTCCAAGTGGTCTGGTACGCTAGTCAGAGGGGTAACAGGCTGCATTACAGGACCATGAGGCGAGGAGCGTCCTGCTCTTGCTGTCTGCCAGTACCCGTAGGTGTCACCAGCACTTACTAGGAGAGGAGCCAGGAGGTGAAAAAGAAATCAAAGAAAATAATAAGAAAATAACTTTGCCCTAGCAATTAGCATACAAGATTTGCTTCTCAACTCCCTCACCTAAAAAGTACTTTTTAACAACTTCTGCTTAAAAAAAATAGGAGAAAGGGATCCAAATGTTTTAAAAAGCAGTCATGGAGTGGACACTGCAGAGTATAGTACTGCCTTCCCCACTGCACAGCCCGTACCCCAACTTCTCTTCAAACACAGTCACACACTTCGTGGGATGCGGTTTTAAAAAGCAGCCTGTGACTTTTCAGGCAAAATTTCCAGCCACAATTTTAAAGGTGGTAATAAACACAGAAGACTCAGGTATTACTGATTTTTTTTCAGTAACATCTAAATGACCTGAAATAGAAAACAAATTATTTGTCTAAGTGACAGTAAATGTAGCAATATATTTAAATGGCAGAAGATATGCATTATTTTGAGACATCATCAGAAAGCCATACCAGTGAATCCCATTGAGGCAGCTTCTCTTGATTGCCTGCGGAGCCCATCTTCATCTCGGAAATCAATGTAAACAAGGTCTATTGCTTGAAGGCCAAATGCCTTTGCTGTGACTACTATTTTTTGCCTGGCATATAAAATATCATGAGTTTCCTTACTGCTTGTTGCACCTATGAAAATAATTCAAAACAGTGAAAAGCTGATGAGTATTTTTGGCCTTTCTATTTTAAATATTTCTTATGTAAAAAAAAAGGGAAGTTTGAGTTTTCATTTAACCATTTTAGAAAGCAAAATGGGGGGTGAGGCTATATTGTCAAAATAATACTCTTCTGAGAAAAAAAAAAAGATACTTTAGCAAAAATTAAAAAATAATCACTTTAAACTCTGGCTTATAAAATTCATATTTTGATTTAGTTCCAATCAGAAGTTATAAGCCTGAAGTCAGTGGAAATTTTGGCTGGTAAGGACTTCTGCTTTAGGACTAACTTGAAGTAATTAATTGATTATATTATTTACTGTATGTACAGTGAGAAGCATTAGAGTAAGAGAAGCTTTATAGAAATTGATATACTGGATACAACTAAATGGCTAAAACATTCACACTGAGAATAGAATTGAACTTTCCTTGGTTCAGATTCTTGTCACAACTGATGTCCTAAGCTGAATATTTAAGTTTTAGTATTTGGATGAAAAATAATGGTAGATGACTTCTGAGAAGGAACAAAAGTATTCACGAGACTTTATGTGCACATAGGGCACCAGCTAAGCACCATGCACATGTGAAGGCTGGTGTGAAATAATAATAATAATAATAATAATTTCCCTTTCCTTAGTATCACTATTTAGACACAGATTTCCAGTAGTAAGGCAATGCTAATTTTTACATGAGTGTCCTAATTTTTAATTCAAATATTGATAGCTCTGCACTTTTATATTTAAATTGAATCAGATCAGTAAGAAGCTAAGCAGCTGCTTATAAAAGAAATCATGAAATAGATTTTATTTTTGAGGAAGGCTAATAGTGCTTCCATATGACTACATGACTGCATTGACATGGGACATACTTAAAGTAAATTTATTAGAGCAAATTTATCAGAAGAGCATTTGTGCACGATGTTAAAAGCCTGACTAATAATTGTCTATAAATTGATGATGAAGAAGCCACCAAATTGTAGGACTATAAATGTAGTTCTTAAAAGCACACATATGTTTCTTATGGATAGCATATTTTTAAATCATTTCAGTTATTCAACAGGTTTGGGTTTTTTTTGTGGTTTTTTAAAATTATTATTATTTTCATTAATTTTTGATACTGCGTAGCAAGAAGGATAAGAAAGTGTCAGTGCCCTGAGGCATACAGGGACCACGTTTTAATTTGCCAGTGACACATTCTGCATTGAAAAAAATCGAGAAAAGTGCAAATGTAAAATGCAGAATCAAGTGTTGTCATTACTTTAATTATTGCTGTCCAAAAAGCGATGGCCATAAATCACATGTGGCTTCTCCAATGCAAACGGAATACGTTAACATTTCTAGTAAACACACAGGTAACAACCTATGCTGGCACGGAAATCCTCTCCTCCAAAGACGACTGCGTCCAAATGAAAGCCAACCTGGGATCCTCTTCTCAGTGCTTCTTCACAGACAGCCTTCAAATGGGAACAGAGTATTAATTTCTACAGAAATGCAGGATGCAGAGCGACCACAGAGGTTATTACAGCAACTCGGTGTTACCAAAATCCTTCAGCTAAAATTGCTTCTATTACATAGCAAAGCCACTGTAGGTGCTCGACCATGCACAATGCTTTAAAATGACTCAGTAAAAGAGAAAACATTATTTTTCCCTAAGCACCTGTATGCCTAGACAATGTAAATACAGGACCTTATAGCACATTCCCTATCTTCTGGTTGACATAATGCCCTGGGTATTACTGTGATCCTTACTGCAGATATTTATATCACAATATGAAAAACAACATTTGTCAAATACTGCTTAAAAGCAAACAAAAAAGTTTGAATTTGATTAGTTTGACATGTAATACAGAAAGACAGATGAGAATATCTGTCATTGAAAAATAATATGAGCTATTTAAAATGGTTGTAGACTACTTATGGGATATAAGGATTCCTTGTAGGATTGACAATTTAAAGTCTTCTGCTGCATATAACTCAGTTTAGCTAAGGAGGTTAAAAATTCAACAAGTGCTGCAGAAAAGTATTAAAATAAAAGCATGACAGATTTTGCTGCTGTAGCTGTTATATGAAAAAGTCCATTTCCAAAATATGGCTGTTTTATATCAGTGTTTGGTGTATACTGATATTTTTTAAGGCTAAGGTATGTGGCGAGGGACGGATGTAATTACCAGCTCTACTAATGCGTGTTCTTCTACATCAGCTGGTGGGACAAGAAATTATTCTTTAATAGAGCGTTTTAAAAGGCAGCTCTCCTGCCAACATCAGGAACTGCAATATTAAAAAATCCAGTATAAAATACTATAGGTGAAGGAAAAACTCAGCCACTTTAAAATATGATGTAATTCTGCGTATGCACACAGGACAGGAGCATGTCTATTTGGTTACTGCTTTATTATGTTTCCAGATACGTTAGAGTGTGCTGTAAGATAAATGGCTGTATCAAACGAGCAGGCTGCCCGTGAGGGCTGCCGGTACTTCTGGAGGTACTTCTGATGTGTGTCCCCTCAGCTGGACCGAAACTTTCCCTTAGAGCTTGGGAGGGGAAAGCTGAATTGCTGGTGCATGCATGAGATCTTCCGTTTCATTACTACACTGCCTTGCCTTTCTGAAAAACCTGGGCCTGAAAGTAAAGTTTCAGAAGAAATTTATGTTAAAATGCACTTTAAAAATAAGATTTGGTCTTAAACTACCCTGAAAAAGGAGCATGTTCTTTGGATAGTTCCTATTTTCAAAGTTAAGTATACCTCTAATCTTAACATTAAACACTCAGAAAACAGTAACATGAAATTTTGTTCTAACCTTATTAGTAAAAACCATGATAAAGATGCCAGCTTTTAGAAATAGTGAAATGATGATTAATCCTTTTTCCTAAAGTTAAGTGTTATACAAAAGTCAAGTTCGATAGCTACTAAATAGCTAAGTGCATTGCAACACTGTGAGTATTCCAAATCTTTGGAGAAGTCCAGTCCAAGTGTGCTAAAAATAACAGTAATGTAGAGAGGTTTTGTTATTTGACATGGATTATCTGAAACTGTTCTGTCACTGAAATAATTTGAATTTATGAAGGCCTTTACATTACAAACATGACAGTTCAATGTGCAAATGTTTTGGGGGATTGAACAATACGTTTAGTATTTTTTGACCTCTGATGAAATTAGGGGGAGACTGGGAACTATTTTGCTTATCCTAGTTTGCTGAGATGGCAAAATATGAATGCTTCAAGACCTGCTTACCTTAAAATTGAGCAAGCCCACTGCAGTTTCCACAAAGGGGATAAAATTCATTGGTTCTACAAGTGTTCGGCCTTTTAGGTGATGTAAGAATTTGTCTGAAAACTAAAATTAGACAGTGTGAGCTATCAGAGAGAGAGGAAAGAAACCAGACCTCAGAACAGTTTACATGTCTATATAATGCATTAAATTTTCACCTGCCTGTAACTACACCCCTCCCCACCCCAAAAACTTGTAATTAAAAAAATGAAACCAGCTTTTAACGAGGCCTGTGATTTGAAACCGCAGCATTCCCATACATTTCTGTGTTTGGAGTCTGGTTTGCAAGAAAAAAAACATCCAGGCTTAGCACCTCTCACCCTGGCTTAGTGAAATGCAAATCCGCGGGCCCTGGAAAACAATGAAGTGCTGCTGTACCTGAGGTCCGGTTTTGTTTCAGGTCCAGCACTGCCATCACTGGAAGCGCTCCCCAGCCTTCTAAGTGGCATCCGTATTATTCATTACGGCACCGTTACCCTTTTGTTCACTAGGCTTTTCTTCATAATTTTTTAGCTTACCTAGGAAGGCCTTAAAAAGGAAGTTTAATTCTTTGAAGACCAAAGCTTGCCAATTTTTTCCATGAGACCAGTTCACAGCTAGCTCTGAGCTGCCAGTGGGGTAGCCCAAATTCCAAAATCTATCATCTGGAAACATACAAAAGCTCTTGCACAGATTTTTCCTCTTTCAAAAGGGAAAAAAAAAAGAAAAAAAAAGAAAAAAAAAGAGGGGGGAAAAAACCTCAGCCCTATATTGTAAATCTATTATGTCTGTCCAGATTGAGTAATTTGTGCGGAGATAAACATATCGCAGGTACGGTGAAAATATGTTAGTAAATAAAGACAAAAATAACATCTGCATATATTTTAAATTTAAGGAATATTCAACTATTAATGGATATCAAAGGAAAGGGAATTTTAATCATCTCTCCATTCAGTCTCAGTTGGGTAAATCATATCTAAGAGATTTGCATAAATATAAACCATCAAAGACTTTTCATCTTCAAAGGGGGTTTCAAGACCCTATAAGCTTTGTACTGTAATCATCGCAGGTCACAACCCTGCAGGAATAAGGCTGCTATGGCAACATAAAAAAACTAATGCTTAAGGCTTAGCATAATATTCTGACTAATAGAAAGGAAACTCATTTTAAAAGCTGGCAGCCTATTTACCAGAAGCTGGATTAGAGGTGTTATTTCCCCTTTTAGCTTCCCCCCACCGCCCCTCCCCAAAAGAAGGAAAATCTAATCACCCAGATCTTGAAAAAAAGCTTTCCATCAATTTGCAGTAACTTTACAATTAGGCCAAAATAAATCACAGCTTTCTTCGATGAAGAATGCTGCCCTTCCCATCCCTGCTTTGCATCGTCACTGTGGCTGTCTCAGTAACTTTTCTTTGGAGAAGAGAATTGAACCCAAAAATGTGCAAGAACGATAAAAATAATAATCAGTGCAATTCACATGTGCGAGTGTACAGTATGGCAGGTACTACAGAGACAGAAAACAGTAAACTTCATCCAGGCAATTGCAGAAAATGAGGTAATATAATGGCATCAGCATATACTCTTAAGACTCCTATCTGATTTTTATTTTTTAAGGGAAAAAAGGAAGTAAAAAGCTTCACTGTGTTCACATTTTAGGTGCAAGTTAAAGCAGCAGAGCTCTTATTTTATTTGAAAATATTTTAAAAGTCACACTCCGGGGATTTTTTGTATCTTTTGTTTTGAAAGTAAATGAAAAAAAAAAAAAAGCAGTTTAATTAAATATCGTCTTCCTTCCTCTTTCTTTCAAAAAATTGCAAGAAGCACCAATACAAAAGGTAACGAGTGGAGAAGTTTCAATTAATTTTTTTTTGTCAAAAGGAGACGATTAAATGTTTCCGGCCCGGTAAAGTGTTCATTTCAGGGAGAAAGGGAGGGAAAAAAAAAGAAGGCGGAGGGAAAAAAAAACCCCACAAAGCTTGGGGAGGGGATGAAGTAGCAAGGCCTCAGCAATTCTTTCAATTCCAGTGCACACCCAATAGTGTGTCGGGAAGAATGCACACTGGTTGGGATTTGTGGGAGAATTGTCCCGCCACAAAGGAGGGAGAGTTACGCTTGTTATAGTCCAATAAGCCATGCCAGTCAAACAAGTACCCACACTAGGGACAAAAGGAAAGCAAGAGATTCTCACACAAAAGAAAACAAGTAAGCCCATCTTTTAGTTGTGCATCAGCCTCCAGGTTTTCTGCTGCACATAAATAAAAATGAAAGGGGGGGGGGGCAGGGGAGTGGGTATATGTGAGGGGAAATAAACAGATTCTGGGAGGCTCAAAAATCATGCCGAGGTGAATTTTGGGAGGACTTGGAAAAAGCGGCAGTGGCGTTAAACAGAGCGCACTCTTTGTGTGTAAAGGTTGGGCAAAGTGAGAGGGAAGTGAAAGGTAGACAATGAGACAGAAGCTGTTGGGGCTGGCTTGTTTTCCATGATAGAAATCAAAGTTAGAGAGAGGGAAGGTGGAAAAGGATGAGGGGACAAAGAGCCTGTGCAATCCCACCTCCCTGGAAAACCTGCCTGGTGTCAGCAAGGGCTCTTCCATTTTGGAAGCATGAATATTCATTACTGACAAGTTATGTCTAACACTTACAAGGCTGTAAACCCTGAGAGGTATACCCTGGTTAATTTAATTAAATGTTGGTGGAAGGGGACGGTGTGCCTTCCATCACAAGCAGTGGAGGCCGGAGAAGCAGTGCCACTGGATGGACAGGGCTCATCACGTACCCAACATATTTGCTCAGTTGTAGGCTCACACCCAGTCTCAATGGTTTGATCATGGTTAGATGCTGAGATTAAAATAGATCCTAATACGTCTGCCTGCCTTTCATCACAGCTTGCACGCGTGCTAGTTGCTCGGCTAGCGGTTTGCAAAAATATAGAAGTGAATAATTAATTCCTTTACTGGCATGTTACAGCAATAATGGTATATCTAAGCAAATGCCCCCTTTCTTGACAATTAAAACAATTATAGCATAATTAGGCCTATTTCAAAGTTTTCTTAAGTAATTTGACATGCCAACCATTTACATTTCAGGTTTTTATTGGCTGAAAAGTCAGTCGTGAAAAACAAACACACCTGTCAGCAATTAAAAAGGAAGAAATAGAGAACTGCTCAGGAAATAATATCTGTGCTAATTAAAAACACTGGTTAAAAGCTTCCTGTTTGTTCCTCCAGTTGCCCCAAGGAGTGACCTTCCCCCCCCAACTCATTTTTTCATATGTTGCTAACATGGTTCCCCCATCTCCTGCTTACAATGCATGTAACTAAGACTCATGGACAGACAGTCATTTTGCTTGTTAGGGCAGTTAAGAGAAGATACTCATGCTTCTATTTTTAGTATTATACTCTGACATCAATATTGGTTCTTGACTGTGGGAGAAAACCCACTGGTTTTATCTATAAATGCAAGGTGTTCTATGTATGCCTTTTATACAGCACATCTTACCTTTAAGTGGATGCATTTCCCAATTACTTTAGCCAAGCAACAACATCATATGGTATTTGGAGCCTTCCTTATAACTCAAGAGTCATTCATCTCTATGCGTGACTGATTTTTGGCCTATCAGCTTCTGTCAAAAATTACTGTGTTGTTGGTACTCACCCATCTTATTTCTTCAACATTTTCAACCTTTGGCAGCATCATGCTTGAAGGAAGGGTCTTGGACTGCAAAAGCACCTCTAGATCTTCTTCTGCAAGACCGCTGGAGACAGAGTTTATCCTAACACACTTCTCAGCATGGCCGAAGTCAAACTTTTCAAGGGTTTTCACAACGGTCAGCCTTGCTTCTTTCTACAATATAGATGAGTTTAGAGGACAAGAAAAGAAAAAGAATGCATGTTTTCTGTTGACAGAAAAGTGCACTGAGAGGACAACTTTTTGAAATGATGCAGGGAAAGCTAGACAGCCAATATACTGGTGTGCCCAAAACCCCTGCCACTCTTGGGCTTTTGCTGAAGCAGTCATCATCAGCACCTCGCAATTTTACCTTCCTCGTTTCTTTATAACTGGTGAATAAAATGCTCAGGTTTTATGTGTAAATACTTCTATACCACCACTTGTAAAAAACAATACTCTTTTGTCCACTACTGATGAATATGTCTAACAAACACAAATCTTTATACTAACTACAATGCGTTGCACTAACTGTCTGCACTCACAAAAATGGCATGTCTTTAAATTCACATAAAATAATTCATGTTTGTAATTCATCTCTATAGCTTGGATGTCAGAAAACACACATGTACATATATTTCTTCGATTTTGCTACATAAATCTTCCTTTTCTCTATGTATACAAAGTGTACTAAAGCCCATGGTAAAGTTCACAATTCACAAGCGATAACACCAAAAAATTTGCAGATTTTTCTTCAACCACATAAACAGCTATTCTCCTGTTGGCACACCCCCCCCCCCAAAGGTATGCATTTCCCATGGCCATTTGCTATTTTTGTGAATGTAAATTTATGAATCTGTTTAATAGTTGATTTTCATGAAGAACACTTGCATGCTTTTCTGAAATGAAATGCATTTCTTGGCCTGGAGAAGAAGGGAGGGGAAAAAGGAGAGTGCTGGGATCCCTGCTTCCTAACAACTGGAGTTTCAACCCCAAATTTCTTCCACTCACCAACAGCCCCTAACAAATTTGCATTGTCAAAACGCACACTTATCAAAAGTCATTTCATTTGTGAAGAGTCTTTATGGGGCTAATAAAACTTTAAAGCTCCTGACTCATGGAGGTATGGGAACAACTTTAACAATATGCAGTTGCTGAATAGGGAGGCTTTTCAAGAGAACAGATAAACTTAAGGGGGGGGGGGGGGAATAATCAAAGTTAATATTCAGGCTAATACCAATCAGCAAGACAGCACATGACAGTAGATTTAAACCAGACGGATGCAAATCTCTGCCAGTGAGAGGAGCAGAGGCAGTTTCCCAATGTGGTCTGAGTTAAACAGTGTGAGGGAACAGTAGCTTACAGTTGTCAGGTCTGATCAGAATAGGGTCTCCTAGGCCAGTTTAAGACAGCTCTGCAGTGTACTGCTTTACAGGTCTGGGACCCCTGATAATTAGGGTAAGTTTAGAGAAAGGCAAGTGATGGCTCTAACTGGTTAAAGGAAGGAATAATGAAGCAGAAAGTTAATGAAATCTGAAGCAAACAGCCTTCAGCTTGGGGCTACTAGCCGTGCTTCTCTGAAGGTTGGGAGCATATGCCCGTTAATCGGACAGAAGGGAACAAGGCGCACATGTACGCATCCCTGTGCTGCGATCAAGGGACACGTTCAGAGGTAATCTCTGGAAAATACAACCCAAAATGTTCAAACTGCTGTGAATGGACTCTGACTGGGGCCATTAGGAAAGCCACACAGAGATGTGTGTAGTTTACTACAAACACGTCCAGCTGGAAGAGAGCTCCAGCGCACAGCCGCCTCTGAATTAGGTAAACTGAACCATATGATGCCAATACCAGGTAATACAAATCCCCTATGTTTTCCTTCTCTGGCCAGGGGTAATGGGTTTCTAGGGCTGGGCTGAAAGTTTTTCAATATGATGCAGAAGGGTAGCTTAAAAACGTGCTCCAAACCAATTTATGCTTTTAATTAAAGTCAGATTATCACCGTTTCAGCACACACTGATCCAATTTGCAAAAGAAAGATCTCCCCAAATTACCCACCAAGGCAGCATCCAATTCCAACTGAAGGCACATCTCTAGCAAACTTACAGCCTGATTTATGATTTTTTTTTCCCCAGATTATAATAATGAGCGGTAGACCATCTCATTAGTTATTTTTCTCCTCAGGCTGCAACTCCCTTCCCAAAAAAGACAGATCATGTCTTTCTAGGTATATTTCCATACAAAGCACTTATTAACAGGCTGTTGCTGTTATCAATTTACATAAACTAAATGTGCAGCCCTCTGGTACATATCCCAAAAATAACCAACAACTTCACTGAATTTATACCAACCAACAAACATGGGGAGGGGGTTGTTGTTTCTTCCCATATTCTAATAGAAAATATGTTGCTATGTTAGTTAACACACCCATGCCATCTGTTGGGTTGAAAATTGATGCAGTTTTTTAGAACCACTATGTTTTAGATCTGTCTGCGTAGATACCCTAGAAATGGAAACGTTTCCCTTCCATAATAAAATACTTCTAGTCACTATAGTTCCCACATCAGGATTCAATTTATGTTTTTCATTGTGGGACAAACTGAGAGGACCTGGCTGCCAAAGTCAGAGCTCGTGAAGGTACTGACTCGGTGCCTACCCTTCCTGCAACTGAGAAAATCCCGTTGATGTTAGTGGGGTGTATCGGGTCCCCAAGCAGGCTTCCAATAAAACATTTCATGGGTAAATAAAAAATTGCACTGAAACTTCAGACTAAATGTACTAAAAACATGCAGGAAAGGGAGTGACCTTTCTGCCTCATTATGCAGGGAAATGTTGATGCTATTCTTATTGAAGGATCCACACAAAAGTTAAAATTTTAAGCTAGGTAAACTACCTAGCTTGTAACAGTAGAGTAAATAACATAACACGTTGTGACTAACTAGCTTGTAACAGTAGCGTAAATAGTAATCGTTGACAAATGTCTTTATGGATGCAAGAATAAACACGCTTTCCAAACACTCTGTAAAGTCCCTCCCAAGAATGGTCAAAGCAGAATTGTTAAGAAATGGTGGAAAAATTCTTTACCCTGTTCTTCACCCAAGAACTGCAACATTGGGTAATACTGTCATGAATGAATAGCTAATAAAGAAATAAACGTGATCATGAAGTAAATTATTCCATCCCCAGATACCCTGGGGATGGTGGTATCCCCATTGAGTCCTGTGTGGATTGGGTTCTTTATCAAACTGAACAAGAGAGAAAGACAACAGAGAGCTTCATGGCAAACAGAGATACTACTAAAATATGCTAAAATTGCAACTTGTGCTGGAAAATCCATGGGGAAAAAAACCCTATTGGTCAGGGTGGCTACTGCAGCATCCCTTCTGTGTGACTCAGGGGAGGACACTGGAAGATGTCCATTACCATGCGCAGCTATGCCACCTGGAGAAGCTAAAGGTTTCAGTGACGTAGCACTGCGGACAAATCCACTGCGACCCAGAAACACAGGCACTGAAATTAAAGATGGGAATACGCATGTTGCTGGCTCGATTGGCACCCATTAAACCTAATAGCTAACCATCCTCACGAGTTCCTAGCTCTGAATTATCAAATCTGCAAAGAAAACAACATCCGTCCACTTTTACACTCCAGTGGAAGAGGTGGTCCCTCGCGGCGGGGCTGCGTAGTCTCGCCATCTGGAGAATAAATCGAGTGTGAAGTACAGTATAGTTTGGGACCAAGCTCCGTGGCGGCAGCCCAGCAGTTAGTTCATTAGTCCCAAACTTGCGGGGATTAGTGCGGTATCAGCTCTACTGTCGGATGGGATCAGGCAGGCAGAGCGCGAGATTCAGGGAAGGGGGTGGCGGCGAAGAAGGAGCCCCTCAGGCTTATTTATAAAACTATGTAGTATAAGCCCACCTAAATAGGTGCCTTTGGTAACAGTAGTATCATAGTCTCCTACCAGCTGAATTGGTACCTTTCCTTCTTTCCTTCTTTTCTTTTTTTCTTTCCCCCTTTTTTTTTTCTCTCAAGTTATATGTCAAGACATAGACATTTCCGCTTTGAAACAGAAGGAATGCCATAGAGCTGGAAGCTCAGCCACCCACTCACCCTGGACACAGCGTTAATACAGCAATTACGAAGCAAACATGGTCAGATTAACAGAATTCTAGGGACAGCAACAGCAGACAGAAAAATTACATTTTATTTCTTCTTTTCAAACTGGTCTGATACCCCACAAGCCAGTTTTCCAGCATTGTGATTTCCAGATCTGCCTGATTTGGGGAAGAAAATCTGTGTTTTGCTTTATCTTTCTTACCTAGCTTTAGCCCCCCCGCACCCTTTTTGTTTTCCTCAAGACCTTCAGGTCTTAATGTAAATAAAGATGGAGGGTATACTTAAAGCTATGTTTATGTATAGATCTCGCCCTATTAACATCTTTAGTAATAATTCTTCATATGGAAATGTAAATATATGATGGCCAGAATCTGTCATCCTCATTGCCATAATAAGTTTGCATGTTTCAAATGGCAGAGGAAAAATTAATTACTATAATTACAATTCCAGTTATTTTTTTGACGGGTCTGACATAGTAAAAACATACAATTACATGTTAATGTTACCTTCCTAAAGTGGTTTGTTTACAGGGCTTGACATTGCTGAATCTTTTGTCACTTAGTGCATACCCTATGGATGCATCTCTCAAATAACATATTGAAGAAGCACACTCATATATCATACACCCACAATGGGTTTTGGGCAAAATTGAGTTTTGGCAGCGGGTAAGCCTGCAATTTTTTACATGCTTAATTCTCCATCAGTGAAGTGATACCATGCAGGATAATACTTCATTTAGTTCAAATCCACAGATGACACTGGCCAGAGAAAAGACAAACTGCATTGTCTTTAAGGAAACAAAGAGAACCATAACTGCGGAGCAGAGCGTTTCTGAGAACAGGAGGTGTTTTTTTCACAAGACCTGCTTCCTACCTTACATGTACCGCGTACTTCTGAAAAGGTATCTTTGAAATGGCAAATATGCATTTCTATTAAACCTGCTGTAAAATACAAATACATTGCAAAGCCTTCAGGAAGCTGTTACTAAATCTTTTCTTATCAGCCAGATAATCAGTTGAGGAGTTTTTAAAGACTTAGGAAGTTCTAAACCACATTTTCTT